AACTGTCCACAGCAACAAAAGGAATAGCAACCTTAAAATCAACTCAAGATGTCATAATGTTGACATGATTCTGTCAAATTATCCAAAACATAGACTTGATGAAAAGTAAATGTCCATTTTTAACCAGTACGATAAATAACAGTGTCAAAACATATTTGTCACATCATCCACAATATACCATATACGTACAAATGTAGTATGCATGGTCAATAAAGTCACACTCATAACAGTATGGATAGTTGGAGCAGTTGGGATCTTGTAGTACCCCTTTTCTGGGTCATATCATGACGAACATGAGTATTGTATCCCATATAATACTCATGTTAGTCATTTATGATCCAGAAGAAGGGAACAAGATACTCTCCCTTAGCTTCAGTAACTCCCAATTCCCATGAAGTACCTAAAATTGAGACCTTACAGTCTCCCATGTCCTCTGGGCATTCCACTGGTGACATGCTATGGATGGTTCTACCCTGACCTGGTCACTCAACACTGCTAATTGGCATGTATGTGTGCAATGCCTGGACAAAAAAGGACCAAGCAACTGTGCCCATTCAAGGGCTTGAATACACTGTTGAAGAAATGAGATGAGGAAGCAATAATCATATGATTTTGCATGAGGCGTTTGCTTTAATTAACCATTTACATAGATATGCATACACTACATATATCCCTTGTACACATGAAACAAAAGGTTGGTACTGCCGGAGGGCAAGTCCCTGTAACATACCTTTTGCAGTCAACATTTTCTTTTCTTTTTTGTACTACTGAAGTATACTCACTCCTTTACGTCTTGTATGACTCTAACCACCCTGCAAGTTTCATAACCTTGTGGACCTTCCCCTCATGCATAATATGAATTAATCATTACTTCATCCACAAGGAGGGACCGTAACATAACAGACGGTGCTTTTAGCTGTTAAGTCTATGGGGAATATTCAGATTGTATGGTAGATAATAAGGAACAATATCCGGAATGACTGGCCTTTTGACCTACATCTAGTGTGATCATTGTGATGACGTACATTGTATTCTTATAGACTGTGAATCATAGGGCGTGCTCAGCACTCAAGCACATACTGTACATCAAATAAAGACAATAGCAAATGTTTCAAGAAACTGTCACAAAGCCAAGGATGACAACTATGTAACAGTCCCTGCAATTATAAGCTGACATTCCACCTGAGTCAATGACGAACATTGGTTAAATCATTAACAATATCTCTACAGAGTGTACTGTTAGTTTTTTTCAGTACAATATATATCTGACAATATACTGATGGATTTTTCCTTTTCAATAGGTATGAGACAATGAACATTGCATACCCTGTAGGGCACTGTCCTAGAGGATATGCCCTAGAGAGTATAGAACAGGCAATGACCAGAGGTCTGTCACCAGGGGTTCGTAACCTGGACCAGGATAACTCCAACTCCAACTCCAAACACTTTGGGCTCAACAGCATCATTGGGACAATGCGTGATTAAACCTTAGAGTAGGGAGAGAGATCTGTTACCAGGGTTTCTTACTTAGGCTGGACCATGTCAATATTCTACAACAATATGGAATCAGAATTTTGTCACTGACTTTATGATCATAGATCTGTGCAAGTTCAACAGCAGCATATCTATAATATCTACACCCATGAATAACTGTTAAATACTGAGCCCATTGAGATTTTCATCTGACAAATATGGCTGATTGTCCTTGATCACACATGTGCCACTGTGACAAATGTGGCCTGCAAATTGCTGAAGGTGAAACAACAGCTGGAATACTGATAACCCTTGACTTGGAACACAGCCTCTTATTATAGGAAGTAAGAGGGCTACAGTGATCTCAAAAGCAGCACTGCTGGCTATACAGTTACAATTTCTATAAAAACAGCAAATTTCTGCCTTTGTTGTTAAGTGGCATCTGCTCGTGTAAGATCTAGCTAGATACACTGATCTAACTAGAAATTTTCTGTACCCCCTCCTCCCTTAATGGCATTTTTCTTGTCATTGTAAGTTGAACTTTATACCGTCTTCTTGGTGACACTGCTATTGTTGGTTGCTAGCTGTGCGTGTTGTTGTCCCAACCCAATCAGCGTAACTGGGTACTCCCATTACCTGAACTAATTATATACCCGCTCTGGACTTTTTTAAGAAAGGCAGTAATTTTGCCAGTTTTCTACCCCCCTTCCCTACTACCAGTATAGCTGGTAAGACCAAGGAGGTATATATTACATATATCCTGTAATATATTACCTTGGTTTAAACTTTTAGGAATTATGGCATTATATTCAATACTCATCAATCCTTACTGCCATAGTTTTACAGAACTGACTTCTATCATTCTTTAACACTGAATAATCTCATCCGACGCTATCAGTTACACAGGTGGTATTTACACAGCCCTGTCCATCTGACCTGTGGTGTAAGGTCAGAAGTCATGTTTGAGTTCAAAGGACATTGGGTAAACCAAGGACATTATACTTTACCCACACCTGGTCTGATCATGCATGCAGACAGCATGTCTGGCAAATGTTTGCTGTAGGACACTTTTATATTCATTGAACATACATGGGCTTATCCAAGTAAAAAATCTGAAGTGGCTACATCTATATACAAGTCAGCAGAAATGCATTAAGGTCTAACTTTTCAATTTACTGATTTAGGTTAACTTTGCTTCAATTCATTAAAATTTGCTTGTTTCTGGGCAAGTTTCAACCCCAAGTTTCAATGATGAAAAAATGTTACAGTCTGACAAATCACAGAAGACTGGATTTGTGACTGGCATGGGGGGAGTGACTATCTTGAGGATAATTATCACCTCATTTCATCAGTCCATTGTTTGCAAATGACATAATCTTTTTATTTAGAAAAGTGTCACATGTTTGTTTTCTCACATGACATCTTATCAGAGTTGGTGATTTTGCTAGATAGGTACTACTACTACTAGGTAAAATGAGTAACTTTATACAGCATAACATTATGCGTCTAGTTTTAGAAGATTTTTTTGCTCCTGCACATGCTTCCCAAATGTGCAGTGTGGTTAAAGTTGAGAATGGGGTTGGGATAACCAAGGACATTATACATCCTTGGGATGACTTAGTGGTTTGGTCTTATGCAGCTTATACTTACAAATGAACCAAAGTACAAAACTGGTTGAACCAAAGTACAAAACTATCGCCACACCAGTGGTGTGTTAGGTCAAAAAAGAGGTCAACCTGTTATGTGATACAAACGAAGTACAAGCAACAAATCCCCTAAACCGGTTGAGGTTAAAAGCATAAAAGAACAGCAAGTAACCCATGGAATAATGTATTATGTAACTTACCCATCCAGACCAACACCAGATATCAGCTGATTGTACAACAGGTTTGACAGTTAAGAGCCATGATATACTACTGACATCACAATGGAAGCACCATAAATAATCTTCACAAATCAGCACCTTGCGGTGTACAGTTACCAGCCAATCTGATCTTGAAGTGCTGAGTAATTAGAGGTCTGGGTTAATCTACGTTCGGGCAAGTAAACAGTTAGTGACTGGTGCTTGCTTATGTCAACACTAACCCAACACCTCGTAACGATGACTGTGAACCTTCCCCAGACATATCAGTAATATATAACGGAGGTTAAAGAGCCCACTTGATAGCTCCCCAACATCAAACAACCTCTCTTATATGAAACTTGTTCGAGTATCGTCTTGTATCAGTTATGTGTATCTTTCTTTGTTGACACAGTCCCATTTTGAGGGGCGGGATTCGTGAGGGTTGATAAAATAACAAAGAGGCGTGATGGGGAGGTTTTTTTTTCGTTCGGACATTCGGAGTGTCGGGCTCCGAATCTATGATTTATGAAGGACTGCATTCATTCTAAAACTTTCCTGGATGGGGATACGGGTAACATCTTAGCACCGGGATAAGGCAGACATGAGCTGAAACACTAACGTTAGTGTCGGAACGCTGCAAATAAATGGCTACACGGTACAAAACACGAGGCGACTAGCCTGTCGTGCACTGGGGCACATTTTGCACCGTTTGACCGACTCAAGAACAAAAAGATACGTGTCATCAGTATGAGAGTGAAATCTACGTGCTGAGTAACTTGACTAGAGTAGTGTCTCATTTCGCGGCTTCCAGTTTTTGGACCGGAAAGTCGGTGAGTTTTTTCCAGGAGCCCGTCCTCCGCTCCCGCCAGGAGGTGGCCACGCCGCCAACAACAAAGTGGGGCAACACACGCCACAATCGCCGATACAACTAACGGGTTTGTGGGGCTCTTAAACGTTCCCACACTCTATTAGCCTTTTAATCTTAGTCCTCTGTGCGCAAGTTAGTCTCCAAGACTACCATTAGGCGTCTTCAGAAACTAGAGCCCTCGTGTTGTGGTTGCAAATAAGGTTACAAAAATTATGCCGTTTTGACGTTTTACGCTTCGTCACTCAGGTCAAACCACTTCAAAAATTCACCGTTATACGAGCAAAACTTACCTCTGGTTAGGCCCAGGTGTTCAACAATGTCCTCAGCCGTTCAATAATATGTCAATTCTCAAATCTTTGCATAGAAATAGCCACAGAAAGCGCCGAAAAGACCAGGGTGTACCAGGACACGTCGTCGGCCGTCCCAAGCTCGGGGAAAGTTTGGGAAACTTACCGGCGGGTCAAAGGTGAATATTTGCATAAGAAGAAGTGAGAGGGTTTGCGTTTCCACTGACGTCACTGACATCCCGGAGGAAACCAGTTGTATAATATAATCATTGCGGTATTAATAATGTCCCAACTCCAAGAAGTCGATAGGAGAACCGGAATGACTAATATTTGAGTATCACCTACGATAAAACAGCCAAGCGGTCTGCAAATATTGCCACTGGTTATAGTATTTGGCGGGCTTGAGGCGGGAAGAAATTGTCAATTTGTTTTAAACGTTACATATTTTTTTTTTAGGGGGGGGGGGCATAGTAAAACAATCACCGGGATTCGGAGTAGCAAGGTTTTTTAAGGTGCAATATGGAATTGTCTGAAATGCGTTACCTGTCAGTGTACAAGTACAATCAGTAGATTCAACTGGCGACACCTATCGGTCTCCATAAAACTGCAGAAAAGAATGCGTCCAATCATTTATCGACATGACGATATCCCCGTTGCCCTTTCTACTTTATTTCAGTGCAACAATGCTTCATGTCTAATATTACCATCACATCTGAAGTGGGTTTCAACATTGGAAATTTCAGAACATCGTCTCTCAAAAGGCTTTGTGGGTGGTTTGTGTTTTGGGATTGGCGTCTATTTTAGCTGAAGTCAACCATTACATTTCGTTGAAGGTGATGGTCAAATGCCTTGGAGTCCTATATATAAAAGTAACGGACTGGGACAGACCATGTTTTGATATCATGATATCAAATCCCCATGTGATGCCCCATGTATTCGGGCCTGTCTCCGATATGCGATAGACATCAAATGATGATACAGGGTGGGCATACGTGTGTGAAAAGGAAAGAAGTTCACTGGTACATGGTAAAGCCGCCCCTCAAAATAGTCATCCAAAATAGTCATTTCACCCTACCCTCAACGTTCCGTCCTGGTTTGCTCCTTTATTTTTTTAAACTAAAAACTGATGTCTGAGCGCACCAGGAAAGCTCGAAAACAGGTGTTTCAAAGTCTTAGACACATTTGAAACAGTACACGGTGATGCTACAGTGACCTAACTCTCTCTCAGAACTGCCTCTACGAGTCCACGCGTAAAACTGCCGAATGTCGTTTTGAGGGATTGGGCTGGCCAGGGGGCGACGGCTGTTTTGAGGCTTCATCCCGAGACAGTTGTCAAGACTCTCTCACGATCACCAAGATACGGACGCCATAAATAGAAAATAAGGAATCATTAATTAAAGCCAGATGCAGAGGTTATTTGAAAACAGATCGGTTCCATCTAGGAAGTGATAAGTGCATAGCTGTATGACGCACGGCCCGGCAGTAACTATCCCTAAAATGCACGCCAAGAACCATGGGTCAAACTTCAGCTTCACCTCCTCTGAACCCACGGCGCTGGCAAGGGGATAGTCTATACTCTAATTGAACATCAAGGGAATGAATGACTTTCACATCCTGAAAATAGCGACAATTGTAGATAATTGAAATATCATATTTACGCATCATATATTCCCTATGATTTAATTAGTTCCTCCCTTTGTTGAAGGCTGGCAGCTTGCATGATGTACCGAAATTGCCCTGCCTCTGTCAGTCTGTTTGTGTTCTGTCATCCTTCGATCCATCTCCTTGTAATCTTTGTAACGATCAATATTCTATCAAGGAAGATGCAGATGTACATTTTTAATCCCCAATGATGGAATATAGTAGAAGCTGACGTCATGATCCTTGTGATCACATTGAATATGAAATTTGGTTTTGTTCAAATGTTTCCTATCCGATGGTGGAATATGCTAACTTAGTTGGCGAACTTGCAGACTTTTTGTACGAGGCGACGCGGCGGATCGTGATTTTCATGACAGCTTGATAAGTAGGATCTTTATGCCAAGTAATGTGACAAATTGTACCTTCGCGTGGTGCATTGTCGTCTTGTACCAGAATCGATTCATCCACGTCTCGGCTGTGTCTTAAGACGTTAACTGAGGTCAGGAGACGGGAGAACGTGTGAGAGCGGTTTGCCAGGATATTCCCTCACGGGGGATTAACTTCTCAACAAAGTACCTGATGTCGGCATAATCCTCAGATCAATTCCAGATATGTCTGTATTAACAGATCTGTGACGGTGCGGTGGAAAGTTGACGACAGTGTGAAAACGTTTAATCTCAAACCAGCCTGTCGCGAGTGGACAATTGTAAAGTTTTCTGACCGGCCAGATGTTAGCCTGGTTATCAGAGTACATATTATAGCTCTCCTCAAATTTTCTGGTAACCAAGGTACCAAGGCGGTGGGGTATATGACTACCAGGATGGCCCGTTGATTTTGAAAACGTCTAAGAGTTTATATTACCCATTACGAACGAGGTCGACACTGAAAAATCTGACGCTTCAAGCTCCCCGCTGCTAGCCTGGTGTTCATCCGTTTTCATCTGGGAAGCAGACAAATCTGAAAACTGATGGATGGATATCGTCATCACCATGGAAATGTTGGATAATTAAACATTTTTCTATCCAGACAACTTTTAGAGGACTGTACAAAAAGCAAGCAAGTGAAAAACGTATGATCTAACACTAACATCTGCTTGAAGAGTACTAGTATAAACGCAGTTACTGCGCCTAAATAGAACTTAGGTGTGTACAGCCTACATGCTGGTGTGCGCTTGCGCCGTTAGCCTGGATGCCAGACCCAAAGCACACTGGACACAAAATATCTCAGTGTGCAAGCTCACTGAGATATTTGTGTCCAGTGTGCTATGGGTCTGGAACCCAGGCTATTGCGCCGTAAGATTCAGAGTCATATTGGGGACCCAAGGAGCCCTATACGACCTGACCAGGAAACGCTTTATAGGAAAACAGGTGGGTTGATATAGAACCGTTTTCATACCCTGACCCCTGAGGCTCAAGTCAAGGGCATGGCAGTTTTATAGAGGACTTACCGTCCAGTGCACGGCGTTTGATGTCCACATTATTCAGACCACCTGCCAGAATAACCATTTTCTATGCCGTGTACAGATACCAAATCGGAGGTGCTCCATCAGCAATGATAAGGACACCGTGCTTTACTACTACATATGTATATCTCCATTTGAAACACCGTTGCAATGACAGTGTCCAACCGTTGCAATCACAGGGTCCAAAGAATACTTCAAGAACACGTCCTGTTCCAAACACAAGTCGAAGCTAAAAACAATCTTTGTATATGACTGAAAACGTCTTGTTCAGCTAAGAAACTCATGTTAGGCCACACCGATTTAATTTTATGGATGACATCCGCGCGCGCATTGATTTTCGCCCGATCTCAAAAAAAAAAAAAAAAGATCACGAATTCCGAGTAGCCTGTGTATACAAGCTCTCGGCTGGACGTTAATGACCCCCACCCCAAGCGGCAACCTAGGGCGGCGGCCGCCAGGAGCGCGATTTAGTCAGGCTAGAATTCCGAGGCTCTGGCCTGGCTTTAGGCCTGGGTAGTGCACGGTGGTGATAACTCTGGTTGACGGCAGCCAGGCTACCGAAGCTCCAAGACTCAAGAACTCAGTACATACGTACAGCAGTGTCGATTCATATATTCCGCAAAAATCCAGCATGTGTCGGCCTGTCGTATACGTCGCTATGTAATGCGCCAAATTCACAATACCAGGTTTCTATTCCTGTGGTTTTGTAGCATTTTTATTTTTGGCCGGATTTTTATTTTTTTCGCCCGCGCGCACTAGTTTGGGGGTCTTCAGAGGATGTCATCCATAAAATTAAATCGGTGTGGCCTTATATGATCCTTGGTATGCCTTCGAGGCTTCGGCGATGTAATAAACACTAGGTTTGGAAGTATAATGTCCGCTGCACGACTTTGCTGTAAGTAAGTAGGACACGGCTGACTGCAAACATTAACGGCGGGCGACAAGCCATGAAATATGAATGAAACAAGAATGAGATACATTTCCCGCAGATTAAGGTGGAGGACGAAGTAATTAGACCTGCCGCATGGTCGCGTTGTGGAACATTAATTGTTTTATACCACTTCACATGTCAGGAAAATTCACTTTAGAAGCCATAGATCAGATTATTCTGCAATTTCCGGTACAACATTATAAACCCTGATGTCTGTATGTTGTGCCAAGGTCTCTGAACGAGATGAAATTGCCAAAATGTCACAGATACTCGTATAAGCACGGAAGCTATCCAGGTTATAAATTGGAGCAGGACACAATTGCCATTCTTCAGCTAGCGTTAATTATAGTAGTATTGAAGATAACGTGACTTCCAAACTTTCTTCTATTTTACTAGTATTCTTCACCAAGCAGATCTGGTATGGTGCAGGTTCATGTTTTTCCTATGCTTGTATAGTTAACGTTAGTCGTTACTTATTTACTCGAATAAACAATTTCGTAACATCTGTTCCAAGGTCAATTATCAGTCTCGACCTCGATCGATCGGCTCAATTTTGTAGTATTGTTCCGAACAAGTCACGGATAAATAAAGTACTTTTGGTATTGTTCCTTCGAGTCAGCTGCTTTCGTTCATCAAACCTTTAATATAAAAGCACAAGATTGACATTTAAAAGTTTTATCTGTATGAGAACATCAGTGACGGCTCTTGTAGCCATAATCGAAGTGATTTTCTCTTTCTACAACTACTAGCGTCATTGAAAGACGGAAATCACGATGAAAATGAGGAAAGAATGACCAAAACCGCCGCCTATCTGCAATGCGCTCAGACGGATTGCCGCTTACATGAAAAGTCGATTTCCTTTGCATGTAACGTCTTTTAGCCGAATTCATTTAGAATGGAAATTGGACGCGAGTTGTTGATGAAAAAGTCGATACATTACTTTAAGTCGGAGTTTGATTTCATGAAGCAGTTGTCGAGGTCTAATTTCAGACATACGCGGTAATAGGTTTTTCATCAACTAGGTCAGGCTGCTGGGAAAGTCACGCGGTGGGTCTTGAGTCCCAGTAGCCGTCCTCATATAGAATTGTGCTACCGAGTACTCTTCAAAGCCGAGGATAAATGCACTTAGAAGGACTTTT